TCACCGACCTGCGCAAAAATGCCACCGGTAATTATTTTTTACTGAAGTTTACAACGTAACTATGATATTGGGGTTAATTCCGGTCGCGTGAAAATTTTTTCGAGTTATGTCTTTCTCTTTGAAACCTCTAATTTTTCTGTCCCAGTTAATGACAAGATAACTTTGCGATTTCGTAAACTCTCTTTCATGCAGCCCGTAAGCCGTCGTCGAGTTCCTGATAGCCAACTTTTCTCTCCTCAGAAACAGTTTTTGTTGTTACTGAATTAGTCCGAGGTGGTAGCCTTGAAAGCCTTTTGAAGAGCAAGGATGACGGAAGTAACGAATATGCAAATGTCTGCTGTAAACTGAGCGACCGACAGCTGTTGAACATTGCACTGCAGGTGGCCTTGGGAATGCAGCATTTAGAAGAGCGGAAGGTTGGCAAATCCCAAAAAATTTATCTCAAGGGTTACTCTTGGTGAAAATTTGACTCATTCTTAACATGCTTTGGTATAATATTTGTCTAATAGAAAACCAGAACGGCAACTTTCTTTTCAGTGCATTCACCGCGACCTTGCAGCGAGAAATGTCTTTATTGATTCAAGCAAGGTGGCAAAAGTTGGAGACTTTGGATTAGCAAGGAACATCTCAGACGATGGGTTATACATCAAAACTTCATGTGTAAGTACTGGATCACTCATTATTAATCTTTCTTCTTGTGTTGAAAGCCGCAGGAAATTTAAATTTCTGTTTAAATATGACCACTCATTTTTTCTCTGGGGCCGCATAAGCTCAACTCATAGAAACCCTGAATTAAATCTATTTATTTATCATAAACCACTTTTTTTCTGTCTACACTCTTTCACTATAAAAAAAGTACATGTAAGTATCACTTTAGAGGGTCAGAACCTTGTCGTGGGCTAGATTTAATTATTTCCTGCTAAATTAGGCCAGCATACGCTTTGTTTGGCATGATACCTTCTGTGCTTGTTCATTAAATATTACGTAATGATACAGAATAGCTTTCTTTTTTAAGCTACCTTTATCAACAGGTTAAAATTCCATGGAGATGGTCGTCTTTGGAATCTCTTCGAGATCGAGTTTATACATCCAAGAGCGATGTGTAAGTAAACAAAAAGAAACATACGTTGTCTGACGTGGAAGGGGTAGCCTTGTCCACCATCAATATGTTTGGTCAAGATTGAGGCACGTAAGGCCGCTGAGATTTTTACGTAACGAGAACAATGTTGGAGAGGAGTTCCTCTTCTCCTTTTTTCCTTCCCTTGTATTCCACTCGATGTCCATGTATATATCTTGAACAAATTGCCTCTTAATAGTGTCCCAAGCCAGGTTAGATCGCATTATCAGCCACTGGTATCATTCGACGGCTTATACCGTGATAACTCACGACTCTGGTACACTTTCAACCTACAATTGAGTGGCCGCTTGGAATCTAAGAATTCCTAAAAGTTATATATATATATATAATTTTTATGATGAACTTTCACTTGTTAAATTCTCACACTTATTTTCAAAAATTCCGCTATTTCATTTTCCGAAAACAGTAGATACCCT